CTGAGGACCAGTGAGCCGTAGGAGTCGGAGCCGGAGGCGGCCCCAGGAAGAAAGGTCTCTAGAGACAGCGCCTGTGTTCTCACGTGGATGCTCCGAGTGGCTGCTCTTCCAAGACCTGCCTGCTCTTTTCTTTTCATGAAACGTGGTGTCTCCCCCGCCCCGCCCGGCCCCAGGCCCCAGGGCGGAATGTAACATCTTGTAATGTGGCAATCACTGCCAAACCCGTCCCTGCGAGGGGAACTCCCGCCAGGGGGGCCTCAGAGCGACGTGGGGCCTCCGCATCCGCCCCCGCCGGTGTTTAAGGGGGGAAGGGGCGGGGCAGCAGGAAAGGCTAGCGGGGCAGATCCCAGGTGGGGAGGGAGGTCTCGGCAGGAGGAGGTTTCTCCGGGGCTGTTTTGGGTGTCATGACCCTGCCCGAGCCCACTAGTCTCTGGAAAGCCTGGTCGGACAGGGCCAGGGGCCCGCGTAACCGGTACCGCAGTATCGCGCCCCACTCACCGGCTTCTGGGGACCCCAGAAATCGAATGCAAGGGGACCTGTATTTTAGGAGGAAGAGAGGATCTGTAGCTTCATTCTCAAGGAGGTCTCTGACCTTAAACAGGTTTATGGCACTGGTGGTCTCAAGTCCCTGGCAGGAAAGGAGCCAGCTTTTGACTTTTTGAGCCGAGTGCTTGGGACGGGGACGCAGAGGTGGGCTGTTTGGGAATAGGGGAGTCGCTCCTGGATTTTACCGCCAGTGAGGACAACTTTTTTTTTTTCTTTTGAAAGGCAAGGGGGGTGGGGGGCTCTGATCCTTGACGCCTTTCTTCCCGGGGGTTTCTAACACTGGAGGGGACCATTCCAGCACTTCCGCACTTCTCCCTTTCCCCTCTCTTTCATCCCCCACCTTCTACCGCTGAACTGTTTGTAAACAAGGCTCCAGTTTTCCAGCGCACTCTCCGCCCCCAGCAAACCTGATACTTCCCCCAAACTCGCCCCATCAGTCTCGGAAATTCTTACGCAGGACGGATATTCACAATTTTCACAAGTAATCCTGAAAGAAGGCCGAGGGGAAGCCTCCTAAACGGTCCCACATTGCAGCCGCCCTGATTAGGCCCGGGATCCGTTCTCTTTCTTCTCTGCTCTCCCCAGCCCGGGAGTCCCGGGGCGGGCGGCGGGAATTCGGGGCAGCGGGAGGGGGGTGTGTCTACACCTTGCGATGCACCCCGGGCCGGTGGCCTGAAGCCTGGCGCGCGCTGGGGGAGGGGAGCCAGGAATGGGAGGAGAAGGGGATGGTGGCGCGCCCGGGCTGCCTGCCTCGGGAATTGGAACTCAATACCAGCGCTCTGCCAGAGTTCCAAGCAACCCTGCCAGGAGGTGGGGCGGTGAGGGCCGGGCACCCCTCACTCTTCGGCTTCCCTCCCCCTGCTTCCCAGCGCTTGTCATATCCTGTCTCTGGCCTGATATTTCACGCGAGCAAATGGAAGGGGATTACAATGAAGATTTATGTGTGTTCCGAGCGCGACTGGTTTCCCAGTGTAGGGAGCCGAGATCGCTGCTTCCCATTTCCATTTTTCATTCGCGCTTTGGGGAGCGCAGTCCCGCGCGGGGGGAGCGTGTCTGCGCGGCGGCGGGCTGATCACAGGGCTCCGCGTCTCCCGGCGGGCCGAGAGACTGTGAGAAAGACTTGCCAGCGCGTTGCCCCCGGCGGGGCTGGAGCCGGCCCCAGCCTCCCCCAGCCGGGCTTTGTTTGTCCCCTCGCTCACCCCTCCCCCTCCTCGCCCCCTCACTTCTTGGGACCTGGGCGCATCCTGGCTTTCCCGTCTCCTTGCCCTTCTCCTCGTCTGCGGAAACGCCCCCTTCCTCTGGCCCCTGCACCCTCCCGCTCTCTGCTTCGCGGGCTTCCCGGGGTAAGACGCGAAAGACGCGCCGTGGCCTGGCGCGACCCCGCCGCCGCCGGGTGCCAGGTTCGGTGACTCCAGCGAGTCTGTGGGGCCTCGGCCCACCCCGGAGCTGGGGCCGCCCGCCCTCCTGGCTCCCAGGCTCGCTCATGCCAAGGCCTGTTGCGTGATTCCAACTTGGGCTGACATTCCCTGCCCCGGGCGCTCCGGCGTAGGCCTCTTAATCATCTTGTCTGCTGCAGATCCTCGACACCAGCCAATTTACTGCCCCGTCTCTCCTCGCTGGTTTCAGGAGGGGGAGGGGAGTGCGCGCAAAGGAGGGGAGGGCACATACAACCGCAGGAGGAAGGCTGGCACCAGCCACTGGCACTCAAAGAAAACCACGGAATTTGGAACTGGGGGGCGGGGGAGAACTGGAATGGGGGTCTGCTAGGCAGCGGCTGCTTAGAGAAGCTAGAATCACGGGGTCAATGAGCTTCAGCTCAGGTCTTCCTAGCCTGGGAAAACAATGCCGGCATGGAAACGGACACTGGATTGTGTAGCCTTTCTGTCTTTCCCAGAGCCCCCCACTCCCTATCCAGATTCTGTTGAGACTCCATGCAGGCCCCAAAACAGTCTGGCCAGAAAAGACACGATTCCTTTCAGGGTGATACCACTGAGCCTAGAAAGTCGCTCCCATCCTATGTCTGTGTTTTGGCAGAGGTGACTCGAAGACACACAAGGAAGGCCTGGGTAGCCATCCCGGAGAAGAGGAGGCTTGGGTCTGGCAAGCAGAGCTCTCAGGCCCACCCCTAATCTCTTTTCCAGTAGAGGCAGGTCCCTTCAAAGAGGATGGCTGAGGTTCAGGCTCTCATGTAAGAAGAGGCCAGAGCTTCCCCAGCTCTAGAGGGCTGCTCTTCCACATAGGATGAAGTTGGAAAGGCCTCTGGCTAACTCTGGGCCTCGTAATCACAGGCACAAGTGAAGCCTCCCTGTTTGGGGGGACACTGGAATAAAACAATACACTACCAACAGCAAAAATGGGTACTTCCCGTGTGCCTGGCACTGTGTTACATCGTTGTCTCATTATACACTCACAACAACTCTGAGCTGGTTGTTATTATTTCTCCATCGTACAGATCTGCACACTGATGCACAGAGAGGTTACACTGAGTAGCTCAAAGTCTCAAAGTCAGCGTTTGAAACTAAGAAGCCTCTGTTGTAGGCCTCAGTGCTTTGAAGGAAAGGGGCTTTTAGTTCAGGCCTGTATTGTCCATCTAACCCCTGGCCATTGCAGAGAATGCCAGAAAGCAGGGTGACTTTCAAACCTGGAAGCCAGTTGGGGTGGGATCCAAGGTGGAAGGCAGAGCTGAATGGTGTGACACGTTTCCCCTCAGAGAATGTGCAGCGGAAGGATGCCGCTTGCATCAGTGGTCTGTGTATGTGTGCACGTGTGGGTATGTAGGTTTCTGTATCTGTGTATGTGAATACGAGCGTGCATGAATTTTCATCAGTGTGTGTGAGAGACTCAGTAGGAGTGTGTGTACAAGTGAGAGGATGTGACAGTATAGATGTGACTGTGAGAGTCACAGTGCGTGATTGTATGTGTGCTAGCGCAGCCCTGTGTGCAGGGGTCCCCCTGCATTCCAGAGCAGCCAACCGAGTTTCCCGAGAGGGCCGGGGTGACTCACTGAGCTCTCTGCTCAGCCAGCCCCAGAATGGCCGCGGGGCACAGAGGGGAGGGTCCGGGGTAGGGGGTCTGACCCCGGCTTCGGCAGCACTCTGGCGGCGACTGCAGGTCCCCCGCGGTGGCGCCGAGGCACCGCCTGGCCTGCACCACTGGCGCGGGGGCGGCAGAGACCGCCCAGGCTCAGGGCGGTGGCGCCGGCACCGGAGGGGCCCGGCGGGCGTAGGCTGCAGCCGCCCGGCTCGGAGTGAGTCACCGCGCCGAGAGCCGGCGAACCCAGCGCCGAGACTCGCGCGCCGGCAGAGCGTGAACGTTCCGGGGAGGCCGGCGTGGAGCGCGCCCGTTCTCGCCTCGCCGCGCCCCACGGCTGTCTCGGCCTCTGAGAGGGGTCACTCGCGGCTGGCCAGCTTCCCCGCCCGGGCAGCGGCTCGAGGCTCCAGGTCATGACGCCAGGGAACGAGCGCACACATCCAAAGAAAACAATAATTTATTTAAATAATCTCTTCATATTGTAAAATCAACATTAAGAGCATGTTGTTTTCATAATAAATAACCCCAAAATACCTTTCATTTCAAGAACAAAGACTTTAGGATAAGATAAAACAAAACCAAATCAGTAGCTTAGTTTAACTGAGAAAATTTTCAAAGGGAAAAATAAAATGGAGGGGTCGTTGAGGTTACTGCTAAACCGCAGTTTTCACAAGTGGGCGTTTACAAAAAGTCCGAAAAGCCGAGTGTTTTTATACAAATAAATCAGTGGGAAAATCTGCACAGACACCTTTATTTACGAACTCTATGTCGAAGTCCAGCCTAGTAATCCTGAATAAGTTTTAAAAAAGATAATTTAAACACATTTTTTTTTGCAGTGTCCACATATTAAAAAATCATTTTTTCCCCCAACATCAAAATGAGGTCATCCGCAAAGGCACCTAAACTTTTAAAAAAATAAAAATAAAAAACCTCCACGGGGGATGGATGAGGAGAGAGCTAAGGGAGCGTTCCCGCAGGAGAGCTACGGCGGGCCGGGCCGGAGGGGGGCTCCGAGGGCTGGAGGCCGCCGGGCAGGGAGAAAGCGGCGGGCCGCCCGGGTCACGGGGGCGGGGCGGGAGGGCGCGCAGGCCCGGGAGGTCAGTCAGCCGCGCGGACCGGAGCGGGGCCTGGGGGCCGGCAGGGAGAAAGGAGCCTCAGAGCACCCTGGAAACGTCGCGGGCGGGGCAGGCGTCCCTCTCGGACTCCAGCGCGTGGCCCGCGGCGAGGAAGGCGCCCGACGGCCTCGCGGGGCGGGGAGGGGTGGGCCGGCAAGTCTGAGGCGGGGCTCGGGTCGGAGAGGCGGCCGCGGCGGGCGGGCGGCCCTGCCCGGGGGCCTCGGAGAAGCAGCCTCGCAGCTCCCGCTCGGTGGCCGCGCGAGGGAGCGGGGCCATCTCGGGTCGCTCCTCCCGGAGGGGCGGGGGGCATCCGCGGGCCAGTTGGAGGGACCCTCTGGCTCTTGGAGCGAGCACTGAGGATCGTGGTCTCTGCCCTCTCAGTCTCTGGCGCGGTCTCCCTCGGGTTAGAAAATCGTCCCGGCGCTGACCGGGGCGCCCCCGCCGCCGCCGTGGTGGTGGTGGTGGTGGTGGTGGTGGTGGTGCGGCTGCGCGGTCTGCGTCGGGTGCAGCAGCGGCGCGGCGGCCTGCAGGTGGGAGGTGGGGCCCGCGGCCTGGTGGTACCACGGGTAGCTGCCCAGGAAAGCCGAGGCCGCGCCGCTCGGGCTGGAGCCCGAGCTGCCCGCGCCGCCGCCGCCGCTGTTCGGGCCGCCGCCGCCGCCCATCCGCGGGGGCGCGCTGAAGTCCCAGGAGGCCGGCGCCGACGCCGGCGGCGACGCACACGGGGGCGAGGTGCTGGCGCCAGGGTGCTGCTCCGAGGGGATCTCACCGCTTTTCCACATCTTCTTGAACTTGGACCGGCGGTTCTGGAACCAGATTTTGACCTTTGTGGAAAAGGGACCCGAGCGTTAGTGGAAGAGCCTGGGTCTGGGGCACCGGGAGGGGAGGAGGCGTAGAAAGCAGAGCCGGGCAGGTAAGCGGATCGCGTGCCGCGGCCTCGGAGGCTCGGGATGGCTCCGAGCCCATTGGGAGGTAATCTCCGAAAGTCCGAGACAGCTGGATCGTGCGTTCCGCGGGGATGGTGACCGCGGGAGGGGGCCAGGGGGGCCAATTATTTTACCGCTCAATCAGTTCGCGCGGGAAGAAGAGGTGGACGCGGATTTGCGCCCACCCCAGTGCTTTCCCTCTCTCGGGCGCGGCGGCCCCCTGAGGGGTGTCAGCTTCAGGCGTACAAGTTCAGGCCGCCCAAGGCGCGGGCCTCGAAATCCTTAAACTTACTTTAAAAATACTTTTTAAAACGCCGTCCGGCGCGCGCCTGCTTCCCAGCCACGCCAGGCCGGGAGCCCTCACCTGCGTCTGGGTGAGGCCCAGAGACGCCGCCAGCTCCGCTCGCTCCGGGAGGGCCAGGTACTGAGTCTTTTGGAAACGTCTCTGAAGAGCCGCCAGCTGGAAACTGGAGTAGATGGTGCGGGGTTTCCGGACCTTCTTTGGCTTCCCGTTCACTATCCGGATTTCAGGCTCGAGGTCCTCCTTCTCTGCAACGCAACGCAGTCGTGAGAACAGCGCAACCGGGGGACGCAAACGGTCCCCGCTGGGCGTGAGGGCCGGCCGTGGGGCTCGGCCCGCGTCCGGAGGCGGGTCCCCGGAGACGCCGCGGGGCGCCCGGGCGCCGCTTCGCCGAGTGCGGACCCGCGCCGCCGGCCACCCGTGAGCTGGACCCTCCCGGAAGGAGAAGGAGGAGCAAACCGGAGAGAAAGAAGGAGCGGGTGGTGAGGAAATGCGGTTACCACGAGGCACGCACCCGACGCCCGCTCGGCCCCTGAGTCTCACCAGCCGAGCGCCGAAGGACGTACCCGGTGGCCCTCGGCAGCCTGGCGGTTGAGGAGGGTAAAAAGGCTCAGGGAGGGCAGGGAGCAGGCCGTGTAAACGGCCGGGGCTCCGGATGCATCCCCGCCCCCAAACATTTTAATCCTACCCATCCCAGTAACTAGACTGACTTGGCACCTTTGACGCCAGCGTTGTGCTTACCGGGTTCGTTGTTGGCCGGGGAGGAACTGGTCCCGTAGGGTGCGTAGGAGGTGTAGGCGGCGGTGTAGCCCAGGTCGTAGCCGCTCTTGGCGGAGTAAGGGACGTTGTTGAGGCCGCCTGCGTGGTACTGGTAGGAACCCATGTGCGCGTAGGGCGAGCCCCCACTTCCGCCGCCGCCCGCCGGGTGCTGCTGGTTGGTGTAGTAGCTGCTGTCGGTCGCTGTGGACACCGGGAGTGTGGGCGACTCCTGGGGCTTGTGGAGGCTGCTGCCGTTGCTGCCGCCGGGGCCAGCGCCGCCGCCGCTGGGGGGCTGCGGGTGCTGGTGGTACGTGCTGGAGGCCGTGATCTGGGTCGAGTGCATATCAGCCACCAGACTGTCAAAGACTCCAGTCATCCTGACCCGGGATGGGAAAGAGCAGGGGTGGCGGGCGCGAGGGGGGACGCGAGGCGCCTCCTCTGTCTCTCCCTGTCCCCTCCAGCAGCCAATGTAATTACGGGGGGTGAGGGAGGGTGGGGAGGAAAACAAGAAATGTGGCAACGGTCTGGGCAACTCCTCCTCTAGGGGAGGCGATCACCGTGCGCTGCTCGGGACAGCTGCCGCCGGCCGCATCCTCTCTCCGCCTCTCCGCCCGCTCGGCTTCTTGCCCAGCGCCCGCTCGGGCGGGGGGCGGGCAGCGGAGGGGGCAGGGGTGGCGGGGCCGGGCCGGGGCTCCGGGAGGCGGGAGCAGGTGAGCAGCCCAGAGCGGCTTTACGATTGTCTGCGGGGCGGGTTCCGGCAGCGTGGGCATTTAACACGTGTCACGTGAGCGCAGGCGACGTCACCTAGCAACAGCCAATCAGAAGCGCCGGGCCTCGGGGCTACTGGCGCTCTGGAATGCCCGGCGGGCGGGGGGGGGGAAGGGGGGGAGGAGGCTGGTGTCACGGGGCGGGAGCTGCGGCTGCTGTGGTTGCGGGTGCAGACAGGCGGCTGCAGAATGTGGGCAGCGAAGCGAGCGACTCGGGAAGGGGCGCGGTGGGGAGTCAGGGTGGCCAGCAGCAGCAGGACAGAAGGCGTGAAGGCGGAGACTGGCATTTCTTCTCAAAGGACGAAGACATGGGGTCTCCCATCACATTCTGTGTACAAGGGCCAACCAGTTGCAGTGATTGGCATCTTCCTGTCCGAGGTCAGCTTTCAGACATTAATCAAAATAAAGCGGTGCCGTGAGCCCGGCCAGGTCTAGCTCCGCTTTTCCTCGAAGTGTGTGGCAGTTAGTCTTGTCAGTCACTCGGCACTTGACAAAGTCAATTGATTTAAATGATCCATAAACGACGTATTATAATACCTACTTCCACATACCTGCTTAACCAACCCACAGGGATATTAGGCAATTAATTAGATAATGTTTAAACGGTTTTTCCTTGTTGCTTGAGAGAAAAGCGCTTTTGAATAGCCTTTCTAAATTCAAAAGTATTATCACCAATGATATTTCTGAAACCATTTTTTCCTTGTACTTTCCTGACAGGCCAAGGCTTTTGAGTAATTATGTATATTTGATGGCTAATTGACAGGCAAAGAGCGATCCCGGGGATTTCCTCTCTTGGTTGGAATGCGAGACCATGATGAACCAAAGTTCGTTCTAATTCTAAATTCTATTTTTTTACGAAAAAAGAAGTGGGATAATAGGCGAGAGTCGTCTTGATACTACAAAAGTAAACTTACAGAAACAAGTAAAAAAGTTTTATTTCATGCTGTTAACCCTATTTTATAGTGTTTTCAGTTAAAGATCCTGTTTCGCCCGGTCACTGAAATTTCTCCTTCTTTTAAATCTGCAGTGGCGACTTCCTCCAGGTCAATATTGCCTAGTGGTTAGGGACCGTGGCCCGGAGTTGAGGGACATTCGTCTTTACTGGACTCCCCAAGTTCGCGGTTTCTGCGGCAGTGCTTGCCTTGTGGTGCCACCTGCTGGAGGTGTGCGTAGTTGCAGCGCGCCCTGTAGACGGTCTAATCACGCTGAGGCGCCAGCCTCTGAAACCCCCCAAAAGAACAAAATAGTAATTAAAAGCCACAAAATTGTACTAGTGCGAGCCATCTGAAGCACCCTTTCCTAAAGACATAACATGTCGCTGAAAGAACTTGTTTCAACAACTGCCTAATGGAAAACAAGTTGATACTTTGAAAAATATGATCTTGGTCTTCTTCCCCAGAAAAAGCAAGTGTGTAATTAAAGCTCCAGCATCCACACAGCTCACTCTCTGCGGAATAATGAGGAAGGTAATCTGCCCTCAAATCTGCCTGGATTTAGTTCCCAGCCTTCCTTTTGGTTAAGGAAGATTCCTTGATGGAGGCTAGTGAACTAGTTAGAAATGCTTTGTGAGGTGGGGCTCACCACCAAGGGACGCATTGCTTCACTGCTGTGCTCAGTCTGCTGCTTTGTGGGCCTCAGTTACAAAACTAACCTCTAGATATTTATTCGATATTACCTTTTGGTGTCTCGACACCAAATTCCAAGTCTTTTTGTCACCACAGTGGTAGCTACTTTGGCCTAATATAGAAATCCTGTCCCCCCCCCCCCCCCCATGAAATATAAAAGAGCCAGTTGCTGTAACTTTGCCTTCTCTCTGCTCCTTTGTTCCCACTCCAAGGATGTCCTCCAGGCTCTTTCACGGTGGCAAGTTTGTTTTATTTTGTTATCTATGAGAACCTCCATTAATAGCCTTAAAGTCTAGGTCAGCTGAGATCTGGAAAATGGCATTTTCCTGGAAGGAAATATGATTCCAGTTTCCCTTTAACTGGAAAACAAGGGACTGTGTGTGTGTGTGTGTGTGTGTGTAGGAGAAAAGACCAGATGCAGTGAGCAAGGAGAATCAGCAAGAGTGTGGGAGCCAGAAAGGCAGAACTTACCACTGCATTTGGAGAATCAAGTAAACACTTGAAATATTAATTCTGATAACCCAGATATAAATCTGGGCTTGCCCAAATTATCTGATCACCGTATCACAATATCCAAATGGTTTCCTCACTTTGGTCTAAAGTCAGGGAGACAGTGCCTAGAGAACTGACACACTTGTCCACAATTCAGAGCAGAGTGATGCCCCCTCCACAGATGGAGTTTAGGGGTACACCACTGAGTGGCCAGACTGCCTCCTCTGCTTCAGAGCACTCTCTATCACCCTTTTTTGCTTTTGGTTTTCTTGTACTCTGCAGAGACCTACAGAAGAATGGAGGGGGGGGCGGGTAGGGGGTGCAGGGAGGCTCAGGTCAGTGTTTCTGTTCTGGCTTTGTATGTCCTCATCCTGTCCCTAAGACATAACTGCTTTGAATCCCTCACCGAACAGGTTGTCGACGAAGCACTCTGTCTGATCATGGAGCCCCACTGTGTTTTCCCATGACAGACTCTTGGAAACCTTTGCCAGACGTGAATGGAATCATCATTCCCACTGTACAGAGGAGACTGTGGCTTGAGGGCAGAAGCGACATACTTTTTTTTTTTTTAATTTTAATTTTGAGAGAGAGATAGTGTGAGCAAGGGAGGGTCAGAGAGAGATGGAGACACAGAATCTGAAGCAGGAGAAGCGACACACTTTGAGTCAAGTACCCTTCCTTTCTCTTTTGCTGTAAGTGCAAATCACAGGGTATTTACTCTAAGTCTTGGTTGAACTGCTGGAGAACAGGTCTGGGGCGCCTACCTGGCCTGGGTGTCACCTGGCTCAGTGTACTGCCTCTGCTCCACCACTGGGTGTCCTCAATTACACCGAGGGGGCAAGGCGGCGAGGTGGGGGTTGGGGGGTTGGGGTGAGGGGTGGGTGGGGGGTGTGTCTGGTCGGGGTGAGCACAGCCTGCGGGCAGGAAGTGTGGGGTGGGGTTTCTGGGTGCCTTTTGTGCGAAGAGGGCTAGGCTCATTCTCACTCGCCTACTCTCCTGGAGTGTCACATACCTGTTGCTGGACTGCCCCTTGTCCCGGGTCTCGGCTTTCTACATTGGTCCTAGAGGCATTCTTTCCTGTTTTCATTCCTGAAGTAGTTCTAGGAATCTGAGCTTTTGAGTCATTTGGTTCCTTCTAGAACTCAAAGACTTTGGGAGAGGTTGGGAGTCTATGGGAGCCTCCAGTCTCTACCTTTCCAGGATCAGACGGGCCTGCTTTCCTCCGCCTCCTTTGGTCATTATGTCTTCTTGGGGACAAGCCTTGCCCAATTCTTTAGCATTGCTAAACTTGCTTCCCCCTCTCATCCCCAGTCACTAACGGAGCTTCGGAGATTGGGGGTGTGGCCAGCTCCTCCCAGCCCCTTTGGCCCTCCAAAGCAGATGGGATCTCCGATTCTGGGGTCTGTGAACTTAGACCCCACTTTTTTTTCTTGCATAAACTTGGCAAGAGGGCATAATGGAAACATACCCACTGCTGGTGTGGGGACCTCTAGAAAACCCTTAGGGGACACACAGCAGAATCATCACTCGAACTCAGGTCTTAGCCACAGAAGCAAGGCCAATGCTGCTTTGCGCTGGTTTTTGGCCTCGGGGGCATGGAAGAAGGCCGAACTACCCCCCACTTTTCACCTGCTAGGTCCTTCAAGCTCAATGAGACAGATGGCAAAGGGGCACGTACAGTCCTGAAGACAAGCACACCCTTCCGGCCCCAGGAGCAGACTGGAATGAGAGATTCGTCTCCGAGACTAGCAGGCTCGCCGGCACTGAGTGGGAAGCATCCACAGAGCCACCCTGGGAAGATCCGGGAACACATTCGAGGGTCAACAGCGAGGGCCGGAGGCTGGCGGCCTCTGGTCCCGCGGGAGAACCGGAGACCCTGCTGTGTACTGCCTGGGATTACCTTTGCTATCTGCTAGTGAGCAAGCCAAAAGGACTTGAATGGGAATAAGCAGATACACAGCCATGGCCTTTCTGAGGGAAGTCGTAGCACTGAATTGTTAGTTCAGCATGCTTCTAGAATTTTCAAACCCAATTTCGCCTTCTGCCTTCAAGGTCTTCCAGACATTCCCACCCACTCACTCAGGCCCATTTCACTTTATAGACTGTCCAATGGTTAAAGTAAAGAGACACAAGCTATGGTCCCTGGCACCCAGCATGGGTCGAGCCTCTGAGGCGCTAACCCAATGGCCCCTTCGTTGCATCCCAGCTCACAGGCCTGGTTACTAAGGCGGACAAGCAGTAGTAGGCGAGAGAAACACATATTCCTTCGATTGCTAAAAGCTGCCAGGTCTGGGTGTCCAGGTCCTGAGTGCCAGGAAGGCTTGGAAGGAATAGGTTACACCCCCCACCTTGCCCTAGGACAAAAACTCAGACCTCTGGGATGCGCCCTTTGCACTAGGAGCAACACTCACAGTGCTTACGAATGAGAGGTATGCAATGAGAGGTATGCAAATAACTCCCGGGAGGTCTGTACTCAAACCTGAAAGAAAACAATCTCTGACATTCCCCGCTCCTGTTCAGCCTCGGGCACTGGCTGCCAACGCTTCGGGGAACATTCGGGCGGCGCCTGCTGGCTGATGTGGTGGGGGCTCTGGGTTCGCGCCAGGGCTGGGAGGGGAGCGGGGCTTTCCTTCTGGAACCTCCTGTCCTGCGCGGGAGGCTCCCGGGCTGTCAGGTTGAAACCGCATCTCCTCCCAGAAGAGCAGCGGAGGGTGAAACCTTGTTCACCACCTGAGGCACACAGCTCTGGCTTGTCAGTTATGCCACACTTCTGGAACTCTCAGAGTTTTGTCTTTGCCTTCCAGGTCTTAGATCCTAGTCTGATC